AACATCTGGTATACCTTAAATCTACACAATAGAATTTATCTTGAAAAAAAAAAGACAAATGCAATGGGAGAAGGATGTTTGTTTCAATATTGTTCATAATACCAGAAAAGAACATTCTGTTCAACAATGGGACCTTGACTAAATGCATTATGCCACAGCCAAACACTCTAGCCATATCCAGTCTTTAAAATAGCAGTGTAGGCGCTACCGATATACAGCTCAGTAGCAGCATGCTGCCCTAGCCTGTGCAAGGCCCTGAGTTCAATCCCCAGTACTGAAAAAAAAAATTTTTTTTTTTGTAGAAAAAAATGTAGTAGTAGTCATAGTCGCTGGAGCTAGCCCTCTAAAGTCCTCATTACCTGCCTGGTATTGTCCTAAGTGCTTGGCAAATGTTGACTCATTTAAATATTCATGACAGCTCTGTAAGATAGGAACCATTATTTATCCCCACATTACAGATAAGGAATCTAAAGTAATCATTTCAGTTAAGGGACATATCCAAGGGTCACAGTAAGTGACAGCCACGATTGAAATTCAGATGGGGTAACTCCAGAGTCCTCTGTGAATTGTTAGATAGTAACAAAGAAAAATGCTAATTATTTATTATTAGGAAAGAAAAGCAGGCTGAAAAAAACAGTTTGAGAGACCTAACTCCAATTCTGTATCAATTATTTTTAAAAAATCAAATTACTATACACACAAAGAAAAATTATCACAAGGGTACATACACATGTTATAATGTTAACAATACTATCTTTGAGAGGTTTTCTTATTCCCTTCTTTATAATTTTCTATATTGCCTATCTTTTCCTTAATAAAAACTATAATTTTTTTAATGAGGAAAATATTCCCAAGACAAAATGGATTCTTTTGGTAAAATCAGGTCAACAAATGTGACTTTGATGCACCTTCTGGTGCGAAGCTGTGGAGAGAATGTCACCTTCTGGAAAAAGCTGTCAAGGGATATGCCTAGATCATATCGTGCCAAACCTTTTGCTTCAGAGCAAAGTGGGCTTCAGACTCATTAGTGCATAAAACCAGTGCTTAGGAGGTGAGCTCTGTGGAGCAAAAAGGAGATGTTAGAATGCTGAATCTGGTGGGGACCTCCAGTTTCTTAAGTCTAACACCTCTCAGCTGGTAGGCACTGAGGCTGGAGAGGTTATCCATGGTCAAGTCAGGTAACTTCTGGGTTCCCTTATAGAAAAGGTCATTAGCCCTATGAAACAGAACTCAGCAGGAAATTTTACACATCCTTTTAAATTTAATCACAGAACAGCATGGCAATAGCAAGAGGGCATTGAATCGATTTTAATTTTTTCACCGAAGTTCACTGAGAAAAAAATGGGGGGAGAGAGGATGGAGAAAGCTCATGGATATATCCCAGTAAAGATTTACCCATATTAATTTTGGGCAGTTCAAAATAAGCTGTGATGGAAAAGAATCTGTCACAGTCAATGACGCGGACTCGTAGCCCTCCCTTCTGAGGCTGTGCTCTACAACAGGGCTGGGTTACAATTCAGAGCCTATGTAGGTGACCCAGAGTTCTTGGACTTCCAGCCCAGTCTGGATTTCCTGAGGGAAGCTATTACTTATTCAGGCACCACCCTCCCAGAACATCACAGTGACTCATGTGAGGATAGTGGAGAAGGCTGGCAGTCTAAGCAACATGGTTTCCCAAAGCTTGACCTTTCCAGCGGTTCCTCCCATGAACAGGGCCAATCAGCAAGTTCTGCCCATAGAGCAGCCACTTCCCTTAGCTCTCCACCCTAGCTGGGCATCATTCAGTATTTCTCTGATCCCGTGGTCTCACTGCTCTCTCTGGCTCACTGATGAGGTACTACCTCTAGAGGGCAGTTCAAAGCAGAGCTTCTACTGAGTTCTGAAATGGCTGCACTTTGCAGATTTTTTTTTTTTTAACTGTTCAAAATGTCTTAGTTTGCTTTAGTAAGACAAACCTATGTTTCCTCACAGAATGTCACAATTTTAGCTGCACTCTTGAGCAATTTTCAGAACTCCAGGAGGCAGACCAAATACGTACACAAGTATTTACAAGGAAGAATATGATGACAGCTACTAGAGTGGCAAAGAAAGACAAAGACAAAGGCTGAGGTTCAGCTAAGGTGGTGAACAAAGTTCTTTGAGGCAATGGCTTTTGAGCTGGGCCTTAAAGGTCACCTGGATTTTTACAGACTGACTTAAGACAGGAGTTGCAGGGGAAAGGATATATGGACAGGAAAATGTCTAAACAAAAGTTTTAGTTGAGAAAGAATGAGTTACCACAGCATAGCACAGTGAGAAGTTCTGCTGTCTAGAATAGAGGTATCCTATAGCCAAGGTAAACTAGGAAAAGATCACTGAATCTAAGAAACTATGATTTCCGTCAATTGTAAGATGCAATCTAATTTTAGAGACATTTCAATGCCTCTTTTAAAAAAAATGTTTCTTAGAATCGATGAGACACTTAGCTGGGGTCTTATTGTAGAAGGTCTCGAAAACCAGGTAAGAAATGGAGATAAGAAAGCTTGGGGCTGGGGCTGTAGCTCAGTGGCAGAGCACTTGCCTAGCATGTGTGAAGCACTGGGTTCCATCTTTAGCACCACATGAAAATGAAACAAATAAAGGCAAGCTGTCCATCCACAACTACAAAAAATTTTTTTAAAAAAAGAAAGAACAAAGAAAGCTTTTGAGCAGGGCTGTGATGTTGTGCTTTATGATGATGCTGTAGTTGCTGTGGATAACACTGGGGTAGGACGTGCTGTGCGAGAATTACTGTGTTAGTACAGGCTCAAGGGAATTAAAGGGGGAGTGGTGGGAATGGGAAGGGTCAGACATGAGAGTCTTTTCCAAGGAAAAAATCAAGTGAGTCAACTTCCCAGACATGGTGACTGAAAGAGGAGACAAAAATGAATTCCAGATGGATAATGAAGAAGAATCCGGTAAGTCTGTCATTTTAATTTATGTTTGTTACTTATTTATACTTCCTAGTTACAATTTTTTTCCTTTCCTGATTTGTACAAGATGGTAGAGGTTTTGTTATTCCTGTCTTCCCCTATTTATAAAATTTTGATTTCCAAAAGCAAAAAAACAAAAACCTCCCAAATAAAAAAAAAACAAACACAAAGAAAAGGGATGGGGGTATATCTCAATGGTACAGTGCTTGCCTAGCATGTGCAAGACCCTGCATTCAATCCCCAACACTGAGAAAAAAAAAAAAAAACCAAACTTTTTATTCCCATCTTTATAGTGCTAATGGTGGCCCTTAAAAATTTAAACCTATGCTTTTACATCAATATCAAAAATTAAGTCATCCATTCTCCAACAGAATGAAAAATTTAGCTGCCTTTCCCCTCGTCTCACCCCCACTTAAGGCTTTGGTAATATCTTCACATTTGGAATTTTATTTAGGGACTAGATTCATACACATTTCCTATCTAGTCATGGCTCCTATTTGATTGTGCTGTGCAAAAACACCCCCTATAAAAAGAATTGTTTCAAACCACCAAACATATATTAAAACTTATGGAAACTTCCATCCCAAGCCCTGCTTTGACCTTCAGTTTATGGTTCCTAACTACCTAAATTCCTAACTACCTAAATTGAAATGTTCAATTTGCAACACCACTATGATTTCAGTTTCCCTAAAGGTTATTTTAACTCTACTGATCTTAGAGTTCTCATGGTTGAATTAGCATAATTTTTACCTTAGGACAAATACTTCTAGAATCAAGTATGCAGTTCTCATGGCTGCCCCTTAAGGAAACCACAAAAGATATTCAGAAGGTGTAGAGAGGTACAGTAAAGTTTTTGAAAAGAAAAGAAAAGGCTACTGCTGAGTAGGGACCAACAGAAATGATGAGGGCTCTTGAGTTCTAGAAAGCAATGACTTAAGAGGGTCTATGGTTAAAACTTTGAAAATCAGGAGGCAAAAATGAGATACATCAATTGGAGAATCCCTACAGTAACTTTAGAACAGTTCTTGCAACTTTTAAGAAATAAATTTAGAGAACAATCAAAACTATAGTTTCACCATAGGTAGTTTTGTTAGCTTGTTTTTTCCTCTAAATGGACTTGTTACCCTTTCCTGCCCTGCTCTAATCCTGGGAGACTGACCTTATATGGACAGCATCAAAAAATCCCCCTGGCTTCTACTTTATGATTGGGTTTAGTGAGTGGGATGGGGATGAAAGGCACTGTAGCAGGAGACTGGAAGGTAGAGGAGAGGGAATTGGGGTATTTACTCCTCAGCTCTTTCCCTACCATAGCACCCCAAATTGGCTGAGACTATCTACCGAATGTCAGCCATCTTATCAAACAGCTCTCCTCATAATCTTTCTGAGGAAAAGCTTCTTTGCTTTCTCATTCCAGATTTATGGGCAACAACAGCACCTCATTGTTGCTAAACCCATGACTGCCCATGACTTATACATAGTGCCTACTAACTTCTCTCAATTACCTGCAGGCAGTATGTCATGTCTTTGCAGACCCATACTGAACCCTGACAGACACTCTAGCAGACCTAGAGATCCCTGTAACTAAGAAATGGTAAGGGTAGAAAATACAAATGTGAAAATGACCATGGATAAAAGAGACTAACCCAGGGCTGGAGTTGCGGCTCCGTGGTAGAGCACTTGCTTAGCACCTGTGAGGCACTGGGTTCGATCCTCAGCACCACATAAAAATAAAATAAAGGTATTGTGTCCATCTACAACTAAAAGAAATATTAAAAAAAGACTAACCTAATTTGGGGAAGTAGGCCAATATTAGACCATTTTGAGATTGTATTTTTGAGGTCAAGGGGCACCTATTGGGCTGAATGGTTGTGTGGAAGTAGACTTTTTCTTTTTAGAGAATGAATGTTTCCACTATCAGTCATCCTGGGAAGCAGATCATCCCCATGTGGGACATGGATTGAAATTACAGACTGTAGGAGGGATTTTGGCCTTTCTCTGTGTTAGAGGCCAATTTGGTCCTGGACTTTGAAGTATGGAGAGGCCTGAAGCCAATCAGTGCTAGTGCTGAACTGTCCCCAGGGCAGCAGCAACACTGAGCTTCTGTTTTCCTCAGGAACCGCAGCAGGAACAACAGCAGTTCAGAGGAAACCAACAGCATATTCTGTGAGAGACTTCAGGTAAGCAAACTGTAGGCCCCAAAGGTATTGCATCCACATTGTACCCCACCAAAAACTAGGGAACATTATCAAAATGTCCTCTTTGGACCACAGGAAAATATTTCTCTTTCCTGAGACTGAAGTGGGAGTAATAGTAGACATTAGTGGAGAAAACTGGGCCTACGATAATAGAGCTTTCCTGAAGATCAAAGGCTGAGAAATAGGAGAGAGCTCTCTTATAGAGCCTAACAAGGTAGCATCAGTGAAGTAAGTTTCAGATAGGGTGGAGAACACTTTGAAAGAGTTAAATCTCCAGCAAATGGGCTGGTAGGAGAGAGTGCTGCTCTATTTTTGGTATAAACTGGCAGGATGCTTTCCATTGCCATAGACTGGCAAGCTGGGCATCTATGGGTAACAGAAATAGTTTCTAAAGGGTTAGGTAAATCCTATGTCTGGTGAATTAATAGGAGTTTACTGATGGAAGCTGAAACACATTCCTGACCTTTTGAGATTTATACTAGAGAAACCAGGCTTCCCTTCCACAAAACTCCTTTGGTATTGCTGCTGGGTCAGAAAGAGGGATCAGATGGGAATGGCAACATTGATGGATGTTTGTTTTTATTGAGGTTCTGCAATTCATTTTCCCTGTATTAGATAGAGGAATAATTCTTGGGGCTTTCACAAAGTTGATGTGATGCCCTGATTCCTATTTTGGTTTAATAGGCTTAGAATCTTATAAGGGCCAAAAGAATTCTTCTTAGTTGTATAAGCCTTGTGCTTTTACCAAGATCTTGTCCTCTGCTCTGGAAAGAGGAGGAAGAGCGCTGTGTGCCCTCTGAAAGGACATCACCTGACAAACCCTAATGTAATGTAGAGCCTGGGCTCAGTTTATATGAGCAATGAATCCAAGCATCATCCAAAAATATTGCTATGCATTATTAACTTGGATCAGATGCATTCTCCAAGATTTTTTAAAAAATATCAAAGTAACATACTGTTTTGTAACAGCTGAAGAAGATAAATCACTAAGAGATGATTTTCATATGAGGAATAATTTTTCCTGTCCTTGGAAAATGTTAATTAAACTCGAGGGCTCTGATGAGCATAGTATCTTAAGGTGATAACCCTGGGATATGGAAAGATTGAGACTTAAGGTTTTAATATAAATTCTTCTATGAACCAAATCTCCTGAATAAGTTTGAAGCCTGAAGTGCTGGACTGTCTCCTGTCTGCTACAACCAATTATGTACAACTGGGTTTCTCCACAGGTATAATCATTATTCTCAGGAATTTCTGAGCTCCCTCAAGGAGAAGCCAGAGTCAGTTCTCCCTAATCTGTCCCTATAACATCTGACCAAACAGTGCATCTGCCTAACCCCAAGTTTCCCTGTCTCCCTGTCCTCTTTTGACCTTTCTACTTAAACCTGAAGTCATTTTCTCTGAGAGCATGTGACTCAGGCAGCATAATGTCAGGGATCAGGGCTGAACTATTATAGACACAGTGGATTAGCAGCCAAGGAATGATTCCTCTGACTCGGGCTATCTAAGGTTCTCTGAGGATTCATTCTCTGGCAACCAGACCTCTTGGACTATAATAGCCTTATAATTCTGAGGAGTAATCCTGAATTACAACATGGCAAGATTCATGATGGATGAGCTCATTTTTCTGGGTGCACTATTTGGGCATGTTATCTCAAATATTATCAATCTCCAATAAAGGGAAGCATTTTTGTTTCTTATTCATTCTATCTTAACTCTGTTATGGTTGCATTACATGGTACACAATGGCCAGCACAACTTGGTCGAGCATAGAAAATTATAGGGTTGGTGAAAAGTTTTCCTAAGCCTTTTATTGGCACTAGAGGATGGATGTGAGTTACATATTATTCAGGACCCTGCTACACCTACAATAATAATGTCATAAAAGGAAGGTCTATGAAGACAGTCAGAAAACTGGACATAAGGCATGAATTATTAAAGAACCAGTCTATTTCTCCAATAGGCAAATAAGTCTTTACATCAATTTGCCCATAACAGACTAGCAGTTTCTAGGAAAACAAGGAGGTGTCTTCCTATAGGATAATCAAATGAAATTTAATTTGCTAAAATTGGTCAAATATTCAAAGCATAGATCCTTAGGCTCACAGGAAGAAAGGGACATAAACATGAGTTCTGAAACTTCCCCAGAATAAACCTCATCAGAATTGGCTTTCTCATTTAAAGCAGTTCTCTTAATTGACTTTGAGGTTATCAGGGGTAGCAACATGGCCAAAGGGGCATTAGACCTGCGCTGAGTGCATCATCTTAAAGAAACAATATGGCAAAAACTTGACTGGACTTGGAGCTGGTTTAAGATTTCCCCTCCTGGTATTTTATGGAGCTTGTGGTTATTGTTGCTGTTGTATTTGGTTCTGACTGTCCAGGAATAGGAGTCAGTTGGATAAAACACTGTCATTGCCAATAATTCTTCAGAAAATTTCCCTTAGGTTCAGAGAGTTGTTCTCCCCTTGCTAAGACAAGTTCATGAGTACTGTGGCTTCCCTTCCTTCCTTCCTTCCTCCCTCCCTCCCTCCCTCCCTCCCTTCCTTCCTCCCTCCCTCCCTCCCTTCCTTCCTTCCTGTTGTAGATGGACATGATTGCTTTATTTTATTTATTTGTTTGTGGGGCTGAGGATAGAATCCAGTGCCAGACAGTACTGGCGTTTTGCCGGAAGTAATGGTTGAGAGGCGAGCCATTAAGATGATGATATTAAGTTAAGCCGTCTATAATTGCTGTGACGAGATGATGCTGGATTGAAACAGGCTGTGTATTCAATTGTATATAGACCTCTACTGTCCACCTCGACGCCCACTACTTTGGAGTTCTCCTGGGATTCCTGGGGAGTTCGCGTTGGTGGGTGGAGTTCCGGTGGAGGGAGTTCCGGTTGGTGTGTGGTGTGTCCCGGAGAAGACCGAGTGGGTGGCGTTCGCGTGAGTTTAGAAATAAAGTTTGTTCCTGCTTGAGTGGCTCGTGATTTGTGCCCAGCCAGACCGCGGCACAGTACAGTGGTTTTCCTTTTAAAAAATAAATGTAGGGAAATAGTTTCGTAGTTCCTCTAAAGTTTAAACATAAAATTCTTATGTGACCTAGTAATTCTTTTCTATGTATCTAAAAAATTGAAACAAATAACACTACTACACAAATGTTCATAGAAGCACTATTTGCAATAGCCAACAGATAGAAACAACCCAGATATCCATCGAAGATTGAATGGCTAAACAAATTGTGGTTGATATATACAATAGAATATTTTTCAGTCATTAAAAAAAACTAATGAGGGCTGGGATTGTGGTAGAGCTCTCGACTCGCACGTGTGAGACCCTGGGTTCTCAGCACCACATAAAAATAAATAAACAAAATAAAGATATTATTAAAAAAAACTAATAAAATACTGATACATGCTACAGTGTGGATAAACATTGAAAATACTATGCTAAGTGAAAGCCAAAGGTCACACATTGTATAATTCCATTTGCATACAGAAAGATAAACACATCAGAACAGGAAGCAGATCAACAATATCAAGGGCCCTGTGGTTGCAATGTAGTTTCTTTATAGGGTGATAAAAAATTCTTTTGGAATTTGATGTAGTTGTTGCTTATACAACATTGTGAATGTTCTGAATCTCACTGATTGTTCACTTTGAACTGGTGAATTTTGTGTTAGATGAATTTCAACTCAGCAAATATAAATTGAAAATAAATGCCAAACCAGCACTTTCTTCAATTGTCTATGTTAAGCACTATGCCACTCAGATTATCCTTCAGTCCTAGGCAGTAGGACTATAAGCCCTATAAAGAAAAACCATACCAGCCTTTGATAATGAGACGCTATTTCAGCCACCTGTAACGCCAGATTCATAAAGAGAAGCCTGACAAGAGAGAAATGATATCCAGTCCTCATATTTGTTGGCAGCCATTTCAAAATAGAAGAACCATTCATTTCTCTGACAGCTACAGAGCTCAGGATTAAATTTTTTTATGCTTCACAAAAATGTACTTTCAATAGAAAATTGATATACCAGTTTTTATGAAAAGAAATCTTGCAATTGGTGATCTGCAGAAGAAAAATGACCTATTTCTGTTGTACATTCCTTTGCATTAAAATCTTAATGCAAAGATAAAGGTAAGAATTCTCAGTGTCAGAGGATGTCAGGATTGCCATTCATCACAAAACCAGAAGGGCAAGAAAAATAATTACAACTTTGGGAAATAGATCCAGTGAGGGCTAGAGGAAAAAAACAAAAGAAAAGAAAGACAATGGTGTGAGAATTTGGTACCTGTAACCTGAGGATGTCACATGTGTTGGTGACCCTCATCCTCCCTGCCCAAGGAAGGAGGAAAATGAGTCTAACTACCCAGGGGGGCTTTTGATTTGGCATTAACATGTTCTTGCTTTAAGAATTTAAAAGGCTGAAATAAGACACTGAGAGAGGCCACAGTTGTTTCCTTGGGAGATATTTAAGACTCAGGTGAATACACTTTTCTCTGGGAAGCAGATGGATCTGGGCTCTGAAATGACAGTCCATTCCTCTGACCCTAGGATAGCCATAACAGATCAGGAGAGAGCAGGATAGGACAACTCCTTTCGAGTATCTCCATTGACCTTTCTGCCTGGACCTGATGTAATTCCTTCATGATTAACTTCTTGCTGACCTATCTTTAGTGGGAATAAAGATCAGAGTTATGATTTTTTTATAAAGTGATCTTTCAAACAGTAGAAGCTGATTGCAATAAACTCATCTCCACCCAGATAAATTTTCAATTTTCTGGGTTTAAAAAAAAAAAAAACACCTTAATCCTTAACTTTGTTTTTTATAAATCCATTTGATCATCTTTGTGGCATTCTTATCACTGTTTTAAAGCTTTTTATTGTCCTTTGAAATCATCTATATAATTGGGCAGCCAATTTTTAGGAAATAAACAACATTGCTTTCTGAATAAATACACTAAAATAACAGAACATTTGAGTTGTCTATCCAT